CGATTGGTTAGTGCTGTATAGATTGACAGCCACCCGGGCCCAGAGAGGCCCCGCCCAGCAAAACCTACTAAAGGCAGCCTGCGAGGTTCTAAAAACTCCAACAAGCTCTGCTTTAAAATCTGCAAATACCCGTTATCCTCAGCTTCCTCCAGATTAGTCAATTGAAGCCTTAGTTGATTGATGTGTAAATTAAACCTCGTCTTCCTAATTAAAACCAGCCTAATTCAAATTTTCGGAGGAGCAGGAGCCTACACGGGCTATCAATAATTGCTCCTTTGATGTCCTCATTGCCAAATTAACTTCTCTTTTAATACATCCGAGGGCACCTCGCACTTGTGAATTACGGCGAGATGAGGAGCAATCCCCTGAAATGGGCTCGGGAAATTTTTTCATCAGTGCTCTCATTGCAAAACCGGCAGAAAATTGCTTGCGTTCTCCGCTCACTCAACTTTCCATTTTGTACCACCCGAGGCTGGAAATTGCAACAGCCTGCAGGAAGCTAATTGTGGTGGCCTTTTACAGCGGAGGCCTTTCTGTTCCATAATTCGCGAGATGCAGCCCGCCTACGGGACTGGATTGTGGGGAGAGGAGGAATAGGCGGTGCCCATTCTCCTGCGTTAGGTCTCGCTCCGGTTGAAATGCACAACCGTGTATAGGGAGAAAGCAGGTCGTATGAGCCGTGTGGCCTGAAGCCACACTTTGCTTTATATCCCCAGTTCTGTTCATTTTCTTTTTTTTCTCGTTTCCGTTGCCATTTTGGAGTTATAATCTCTTCCACATTGAGGATTTTGCAGCCCCTCCTCCCTCCCTCTACTTCCCCCACATTTGTTTAGCTTTCCTCTGAAATGAAGACGTTGAAAGTTTCGTGGCTTTTCAGCAAGCAAGCAAGGAAGAAAGAAAGAGGTTTTTCTTTAAAACGAGATGGACGGCTCAGAAATGAGCCGGGTCCACGGTCAAATGCAACCTTCCCCAGTGGCCCCCCGTTTATGACTCTGTATGCCCTTGTTGCATGCCTTCCAGCTTTTGACGGCCAATTTTGTGGCTTGATTATGACCACAGTTAGAAAGGATTTTTAGAGCATCATAGAATAATGGAATGGGAAGGGGGCCTGTAAGGACATCAAGCCTAACCCCCTGCTCAAGGCAGGGATCCATGATTTAAAGAGAATTCAAATGCAGGAAAGAGTGATGATTTGAAAAAGAATTAAAATGCAGGAAAGATGATGCTCCAAGGACGTAGGTGCTTACTAAATTTGCAGAGGATGGGTGAACCATGTTAAGGTCCCTGACCTGCCTCTTTAGGGTCAAATCAAATCCTCTTTGAACTGCCGATCCGAGAAGGGACCCGAGGGATCATCAAGTCCAGCCTCTTGGTAGGAAGACTCAGTGGGGAATCGAACTCCCAACTTTTGGCTCTACAGCCAGAGACCTAAGCCACTGCACTATCCAACAGTTCCTTTACCCTTTCATTTAGGGGTTGGACTGAAGATGCCTTCGGCTACACGATATCTTCAATAATAATAATAATAATAATAATAATAATAATAATAATAATAATAATAATAATAATAATAATAATAATAATAATAATAATAATAATAATAATAATAATAATAATAATAATAATAATAATAATAATAATAATAATAATAATAATAATAATAAAGCAAAGATGTAAGAGGGCGAGGGAGAAAGAGATCAACGCCGCAAAGAGACTGCACTACCCCTGCTGGGATGGGGGCCAGCGAAGTCTTCTCCTCGTCTAGCGCTCAGAATAGAAAGCATTCAGGTTTCTCTTTCTAGGTTAGAAGGTGACCTTGCCTTTTTAGCCGGCCTGGCTCTTCAGGGAGCTGGCTTCTGGAGCTTTTCCAGCGTCAGGAAAGCTCTGCTAATAGCATTAAAGCCGAAGGAGGTCCCCCGTGCCGTGACGCAGGAAACGAGGAGCCCTTCCTGCAGCAGGAAAGGGTGACTCTGAAGTGTGACGGCCTGATCCAGAAATCCTTCGGCCCCAACAGTAGGGCCGGCTCCAGACTCCGGCTGCTAATGATGCCCCCCCTTCGGCACAAAGACATGCTACCTAGTCCCCAAGGACACTTGAGGGGTTCTGGAACCCGAGGCAGAAGACCCCACTCTTCCCACCTCTCTCTAACAGCAAACGTCTAAAGAATAAGAAATCAATAGCTAAGAATTGGCTGCATGTTTCTGCCAGGTTGGGAGCATCCCCATCGCTGAGATTTCAGGACCCATACCTGAGACCGACGGGGGCGGAGCCTTGTGACATCACAGAGGAGGGAGCAGGCAGGAAATAGAGGAGGGTCTGAAACGGCCAGCTGATTAGGGAATTGTGAAATTCAAAGGAGCAGATGGCAGCCCAAGATAGATGGGCCCAAAATCTGGGTAAAAACCTGGGTAACTAGGTAATCCGGCAAATCAGAACTAGGGGGAGGGAGATGACATTTTTATGGACGAGGATCGAAAATGCATCCTGGTGCCTGCCGGGAAATGATAGATACACATTTAATTCAGATTTAATTGTCCCTGAGTAAATCCTACTTTTTCAGCTGTCATCCCTCTCATGTACGATGCAGAGACAATAATATTGGGGTTGCGATAGACATAATTGACATTATCTTTTCTCTTCCTTGCCAAAGTGTCTTGTTTTTATCTTTCGTTTGTTAGACTGCAGATCAGGCCTTGGTTCTCCCTCTCTCTTTCTCCTCTATCAGATCTGTTGTGGGGCTCCAGTCATGTTGCTAGACCTCATGAAAACTCCCCGTGCTCTTTGGCTTGCTAAGCCCCATGCGATGAACTAGGGCTTTGTGTGTGTGTGTGTGTGTGTGTGTGTGTGATTCTTCTTGGTTAGGTGCTGGAGATGAACGTCATGAAATTTATTTGTCAATAAGAAGTGGAAGCAAAAAAAGAGAAGCCACCATTAAAGGCTGAGAGTGGCTGTTCCTTTGGGCGCTGTTCAGGCAATATTCTGCTTGGCTGGGCAATACGTTCCTAACGTAGGAAAATAATCTCATGCTGGTCCCAGATGGATTGCATACTGTACATTGATTCATAAAACTGTCCAGAGCTGCCGGTCCCCATCCCGTTGTCCTTGGCAATGAAACTGTTGCGTACGACGTGTCCCCGCATTTCGGTGCCAAAGGTGTCTGGCGCATGGCGCTCGCTCTTCTGAAGTCACTCAGCAAATTAGGGTCTCGGGGCTAGCCAAGGAAATATGCTGGGATTAGAAAAGTTCCATTTTTGGGGGGACTGCTCTCGGATTCTGGAGCTTACCCCTCAAAAGTAAGTTTTTGAAGCTCTGGAGGAAGGCTAAGAAGCAGATCTGCAAAGAACCCACTGGAAATAACATCCCTTGAAGACAGGTGGGAGAGGTTGTAGCTAGTTCAGGATTCTGGGGTCCTGCAGCTGGTGGAGTAGAAAAGATCTATTTATCCCAAGTTTTAAGAAACTGGCAACCTGTGAGCTACCGAGCTGAAATCGGCCGAAAGGCGTTCGACACCCTAAAGGACTGGGGTGTAAATCCCTGAGAGAGGATCAACCCCCCCCCCCCCGTGGCCGAAAGGCGTTCGACATCCTAAAGGACTGGGGTGTAAATCCTTGAGAGAGGATCAGCCACCCCAGTGGCCAGTCAGCCTCTGCTTGATGACTGAAAAGGGGTGCCTGGCTTGTTGTCAGCCTCTAGCAGTGGCCAGGATGATGGCAACACAGTGCAGGGCTTACTTGGTGGTGGCACCCTGTTTTTTAATTCATTGGTTGCATTTGATCCAACCTTCTCGCTATGAGACGCCTCCATGGCTCTCTTCTTTCCTGCTTCTTTCCCACAACAGCCCTGTGAGGTAGGCCAGGAGGAGCGGGGTCCAAGGTCCAAGGCCACCCAGTGAGTTTCGTGGCCCCTTGGGGAAGAGCACCTGCACCTCCTAAGTCCCAGTCCAGTGGTCTCACTACCACACTGCCTGGGTTTTTCTGCAGCCCCTTCCTGCAGTATCTTAGACCCGCCCACACCGTCCTGTCATTCAAAGAAAGACTCAAGGAAATGCTGTTTGTTCAGGATTTTGGACTGTGGTGTTATCGGCTTTGAGGAAGAGCCTCCGGAGATTTTATGATGGCCGTTGCAGCGTTTTGCAAATCGGGTGATTTTTAAGGGCATTTGTATTTGTTTGCTCAGTCTTGTTTCGGCGTGCATAAGGAGGAGAAGGTGCCAGCAAGTTGATTGGTGTGAATGAAGATGAAATGCTACAAACATATATTTTTGTACCGGAGCTTGGGGGGGGAATGTTCCTTTTTTGGACTACAATACCCAGAATTCTCCAGCCAGCAAGGGGAACATCTACTGGCAGTTGTCTGAAAAGTAATTTCAGAAACCTCTGACACTCAAATGCAGAATTCATGGTCAAAGTAAGCATCGAGGGACATTTGTGTTCCCTAATTTGTTTTCTTTCCTACAGTGGGATTTCCTCAGAGGTGCCCAATCAACAATCAGAAATGCAACTTAAACCCATTGTTATCTTCCATTTCAGTGGCCAATCAGAACACAAAACCCACTGGATGCAAAATACAGAGGTGAGGACTATCACAAGCTATGACAAACAGACCTCTTTTACTCGAGGGAGCACCTCTTCTAAATACATGCTGGGCAGAGGAGAGGGGTTGACATTGAGAGAGGAAGAGAGAGGGAGAATGACTACAAGCTTGTAAAATGTGTGCATTGTTCTCTATGTTAGAGGACAAATAGAAAAATTGTTACTCTCTCTCTCACACACATACACATAAATGCCCAAACACCCTGCACACACAAAACACTTTTCTTTGCGTTTTTGTATTTCCTTTCTGTTTGAAGGCTTCAGAATTCTCATTTTGCATTCGCCTTGGCAACCACAAGGGAGAGAAATGGGCGTCTTCTCTTTTTGTAAAAATAGAAACTGGGATTTGGGTGTAATTGTTTGTCGCCGAGGAGCTGCGGCTTCGAGCAAGACAAGAGTCGTATGCAAGCAGCCCGCACCGGCCGACGGCTGACACGCGACGAATTTCATTAACCTCCCCTGTCATGTCTGGGGAGAGGGTGTCTGTCGCGTTCGTGAGAGATGCGTTTTTGGAACCTCCTGGAGGCTCTAGGACTGAAATGATTTCTTTTGTACAGGAGGAAGAATCTTCTCTTTTTAAAAGGAGGAAGGGGTCGGAGAAGTTCCCTTGCTTCCTTGCATGACTGAGAACAACGTTAAAGGAATGAAATAATAGAATTACTTCCTTTTGCATGAATTCCGCCAGGTGAAGCCTTTGAGTTTGACCCCAGAAGCAAACTGGGTCCTTCCTAACGAAATATCAAGAGCCTGATCGCCAGACGATCAATCACCAGGCGATGAATTGGCCATTATCGCCTGTGAAGACACAGCATGGGTGTGATTGGTATCAACGCAGGAACTCCATGCCTGGATCCGAACCACAGATCCTCACCGCTGAGGGTACCTCTAAGCTTAGGACATCAATAGGATGTGCTCATCAACGTTGTAGATTCTTCGGCCGGACCATCCGGCTTCTGTTCCAATCAGGAGATAGGATGTGAAGCTTCCCAGTACGAGGCAAAGGCAAATTTACTAGAAATGTACCTTTTTCAAAAATCAATACGGTAGGTGCAGCCAACAAGCACTCTGCTGAAGCTTAGGCCAACGTTTGGCCTTCCGCATGTTAGACTGCAACTCCCATCATCTGTCATCATCCCTGTGCTGGACTAGAGCTCATGGGAGGAGCGATCCTTGTTAGCCTGGGTTGCCTGTTGTTGTTGCTCTTATGTTCTGCCAACGGTCTCCAACTTATGGAGACCTTATGAATGATTGGCCTGCAAAGGCCCTCTTCTAGACTCCGGCCTGTGGCCTCCTTTAGGGATTGGCCTGCAAAATGTCCCATCCTCAAAGGCCCTCTTGTAGACTCCGGCCTGTGGCCTCCTTTAGGGAGCCGGACCATCTCGTCTTTCGCCTCCCTCTTTTCCTGCTGCCTTCCACCTTCGGACCATCTCATCTTTCGCCTCCCTCTTTTCCTGCTGCTTTCCACCTTTTCTAGCCTGATTGTCTTTTCCAGAGAATCCTGCCTTCTCGTGATGAGCCCAAAGTAGGCCAGCCTCGCTGTCCATATTTTGGCCTCCAGAGAAAGCTGATTTGACCTAGGGCCCACGTGTCCGTCTTCCTGGCAGTCCCGGGTACCCAGAAAGCCCTCCTCCAGCATCGTCTTTCAAACGAATCAATGCCTCGCCCTGCTGTAAACAAACTGGGAGGTCTCCAAATTCCAGTGTACTCTCTTACGACGGAAACTTTCTGCCGCTCAAGAAAGTGGAAACACACACAAGCTTAGCGACATGTGTGTAAGAGACCTTGGCTAGTTTGGGATCTTGAAGCTGCCTGCGTTTCTGCCTCCTTCATTAACCCCCACACTGCCTTTTTAAATGATTGTGACCATATGCTCTCTACAGTATTAGGCTGTTTATTTCTCTTCTGGCTCTATTTAAAAAAATGCTAACTTTTCCCCCCTTCCTTCTCAGCCAGGACCCGTGATGGCCTCCAGCGCTATGTTCTACAGATCACCCTCGTCCACGATGTCACCGCCATCGAAGAACAAGTTTAAGCGGCAAAGCCGGATCTTCTCCCAAGTCCTGTACCGGACCTTGAGCTATAAGGACCGCAGTTCGGTGGCCGGCTACCCGGGAGAAGGCAAGGATGACCCTTCGGAGCTGTCCACGCAGCGGTCGGCCCCGGGGGTGCTGAAGGTCTTCGGATGCCACATCTGCGTGGGAGCCCATTATAAGAGCGTCCTGGCCACGGCCAGTTCCAGCGCCCAAGAGCTGGTGAAGGAAGCGCTGGAGCGCTATGGACTCAGCAAAGTGGAGGCTGACCGTTACGTCCTCTGCGATGTCATCGGGACGTTTTCCGGGGCGGAGAAGCAGTGGCAGATGGAAGGGCTGAGGGTGCTGCGGGACAACGAGAAGCCCCTCCTGATCCAGGATTTGTGGAAGCCGAGGGAAGGGTTTTCCCGGAGGTTTGAACTCCGGAGGCGATCCGAAGTGGAAGAGCTGGCCGCCAGGGACAAAGACACCGTGACCGCAGGTGAGGAACCAGAGAACGTGTGGTTCATGTTTTTGGGGTTTTAATTGTGTGTTGACGCCTCACAATTATTGTCCAGCTGGCTGGTTCGCTCAGTGGTTTATGGCTCTGCGGAGCCACAGGTTGGGAGTTTGAATCTCCGCTGGGCCTCCCGCAAAGTGGAGCCAGCCCGGGTGGCCTTGGGCAAGCTGCACATTCCCAGGGATGCCCCCCAGAGGAAGGGAAGGGGAAACCACTTCTGTATACTCTTTACCTGGAGTAAAGAGTTGCCATAAGTAAAATTTGACTTGACAGCACATGATTATTATTATTAAAATTTCAGCACTCTGTGTCAAAGCCCCGGTCACGTTGCCTGACTTAGGACTCTGTTTATTAGAAGTTGGCAAATTCTCGCATTTCAGTCCTTTTTCCTCGCATGGCAATCGCCCAGAACTTCGATGATGGGGAACAAACAGGTTCCTGAGAAAACTTGGCTCCTTTCCCTGTCCGGCATTAAAAACATCACCTGTTCATCCACACACAGCCCCAAACTAGAAGCCTGGACGCCCCTTTTTCCCCCCGCTGCCCTAGAGGCCACGAAGGCTCACAACAGATTTTCAGGAAACGAATCTGAATAAACCTGGCTCCCGCCTGTTTTGATTTCTTTTACCAGCCAGCTGTCGTTCAGCCCCGTTGGAGCCAAATTCTCTTTCGGCCATTTGAGGATTCTCTCGGCCACAGCAGAAACGTGGGCCGGGCTGACACTGTCACCTTGTACAGAAATCAAAAACATTTATTTCACGTTCCACGGCCCAGGGGAGGTCGGACGGAGCTGGCCTTCCATGAGAGAAGTGGTGTTAGGTAAATCTCTGGTTTGACTCATTGACGGGCCTAGAAGCAGCCATTGTTTGGGGAGTAAAATGGGGTTGTTCTAAATAATAATGTTCATTTTAGAATGGCAGAGCGGGAAGGGACCCCTCTGGGTCACAGAGTCCGTCCCCTGTCAAGCAGGCTCAGTGAGGGAATTCGAACTCCCAACCTCTGCCTCTCTGACAAGAGACCTAAACCACTGAGCTCTCCGAAGACCCCAATGGAAAGCGAGCAGGGTGCGTGCACACCTGGACTGTGAATGGTGGAATGGGATCATGCGCGGCTCTGAGTTCCAATTTCTTAGCTGGTGTCTCAGAGGAACTGTGGGAAAACAGAGCATCCGTAAGGAAGAAAAAGTCTTTCAGAAGCAAAGGGAAAGGGGGTTTCTTCTGGCCGCCTTAGGCAGCGGGTTGGTCCTTCGAAGACGGAGCGATTTTGCCTCATCCTCTCTCCCGCCTCTGCGAGCAGGTGGGTGGGGGCTGGAGGAGCAGAAACCGCTAATCAGCTGATTAGGATAATGGGTGACCCAGAGGCTTGAATGCTGCAGGTATTTGCTGAGAGGTTGCAGGGAGAGTCTTTGCCGCGTAGGAATAAACACATTTCCAGACCTCCGACTCTTGGGTTCAGCTTCAGGAAGGAGTCACATTCTGTGGAGATAACAAACCCACCCAATTCCCGACTCTTGGGCTCAGCTTCAGGAAGGAGTCACGTTCTGTGGAGATAACAAACCCACCCAATTCAAACCCCATTCCGGGAGTGATGGAGCCAGGAAGTACGCTGGAGGGCTCCCCGGAGCAAGTACACCAGAAATGGTTGGGTTTGGTGGGTCCCGGAGCAGGGCCCAGATGGGGCAACCCGGGCTGTGCCCCAGGGTCCCAAACTTAGAGGGCACCGGAGCTGGATCTGCCGGGGAGTGTTAGGGTAAGGAAGAGCGACAGCTTCCAGTCCGATTCACTTTCTTCTTTTAAAAAATGATTGTTTGCTGAAACTGCAGAGTTCTTTTTACTTGGGGGGGGGGACACTCCCTTCTCCTCCTGATTTTCCATGCAGGTCTTCTACTCATGCCTCATGGTGGAATGGCTGGGAGATCATGGTGGGATGATATCTGAGATCATCCCAGTTATCCACATGACTAGTGATAGCTCTGTCTGAGTGCAACGTTTCAGCTTTGAAATAGAAATGGGCATGAACCAGCAAAAGGGCAGTTTTGTGGTTCGCCAAGGTCCGCAAACCACGAGCTGCAAATTTCTGAATTTTTGCTGAACCAACCAGGCCGTGGAGAGAGTGGGAACAAACCAGGAAGTTCTGGGAAATGTGTGGTTCATGGTTCAGGTCAGTTCGGGTTGTCCGGTTTGAACGAACCGACCAGAAACAACGAACCAGCGATTTCCCACAAATTTCCTGGTTCGTGGCCATCTCTACTTTGAAAGCAAAATCGAGAGGTGTCTGGAAGTCTGTATTCGCTGCTTTTAAAGCCCCCCCTTTTATTTGTTTGTTTCTTTTCCAGTGTGTCCTGGTTGGAGAGAGAAAGGGTTTAAAGGTTCTCAAAGAATGGTTCGCCTGATTTATTTATTTTTCTACAAATGCAACTTCTTTTTAAATAGTGGTGGGGGTGCTGAGGGGTTCCAGCAGTTGCAAAATCAAAGGTCAGGCACATGTGACCCCCCCCCCCCAGGTAGGACAATCCTGTACGGTTTGAGCTAGAGCAAAGCAAAACAAATTGTGCTGCTTATCTACCATCCCATAATGCTTAAAGCACTCTGCAGCTGGTTTGCAGTTTGATTCTGCAAGCTACATATTGCCGCCCCCCTCCTGGCAAGCGAGCTGGGTCCTCAATTTATTGACCTCGGAAGAATGCGAGGCTGTGTCAACCTCAAGCCAGCTACTTGAGCCCATCAAGATGGAAGTCAGGTGGTGAGCGGAGTCGGGGCTGCATTACTGCAGTTTAACCACGGCGCCACAACCCAGCCTAGCCGTGAGGACATGAAGGAGTCCTGAAGGGTTCAAGGACTCCTGACAGCTGAATGTCCTTTGCCCATATGCCACTCTTTTCTCCCTCTGGCCTAGAAGGGAGAGAAGCAACTGACAGATGTTCTAAATCTAATGTCATCCATGCATCACACGAGGCTGGTATAACTGGGGGCAGGATAATTATTCAAGCAAGAAACAGATGTCGGCTGGGCGGCAAACTGGTGTTCTCTGGTGATGACATCCGGACAGCCATTCCCTCCCCCCCCCATTCCCCAGCTCTCTGAAGTGGCTGGGTGGCCGTCCTTGTGTTTCAGATGTCCTGGACCTGCGCTCGGTATATATGACGAAGGAGGTGGGACATTTCAGAGGTCCGGGCTCCTCAGCCTGGTTAATGGAAGGGAAGTACCCTGCCTGGAGGCTTTCTGATTTCCACTTTGCTGAATGGGTGAGAAGGGTCTGCTGTGTACAAGGGTCCCTTGCCAACAAGGGTCTGTTGTGTACCCTTGTGCCAAGTTTGTTGGTTGGTTTCTATCCCACTTTTCTCCTTAAAAAGGACCCAGATGATATATATGCAGAGCCAGCTCCAAGCGCTGCAGTAAAGAGAGCTGAGAGATGGAAGAGAAGAAAACTAGAAACAGAGGTTGCAGTGGTTTTGTGGGAGCGATACGCAGCTTTCTCTCTTTGGTCTGCAGCTTCCAGAATTTTCCTGGCAGCTACAAATGTGTGCAGCTCCAGTTTCTCCTCCTTGGAAAGCTTAGGTGGGCCCCTGCAGTTCACAATCTGGGTGCAGCGTTTTGGACCCGTGATGACGGTCTCCGTAACCACCTGGTCATAAGGAGACCCCAAACATGGCGATATCTGGATGGTCTTTTGTAAAGTCAATGGCTCTGAATTCAAGATCAAACTGCCATCAGATATTTTATGTTACAGCAGGGGTTGTTGTTTTGTTGTTGTTTAGTCGTTAAGTCGTGTCTGACTCTTTGTGACCCCATGGACCAGAGCACGCCAGGCCCTCCTATCCTCCACTGCCTCCTGGAGTTGGGTCAAATTCATGTAGGTTGCTTCGCAGACACTGTCCAGCCATCTCGTCCTCTGTCGTCTCCTTCTCCTCTTGCCCTCACACTTTCCCAACTTCAGGGTCTTTTCCAGGGAGACTCCTGTTCTCATGAGATGGCCAAAGTATTGGAGCCTCAGCTTCAGGATCTGTCCTTCCAGGGAGCACTCAGGGATGATTTCCTTCATAATGGCTAGGTTTGATCTCCTTGCAGTCCAGGGGACTCTCAAGAGCCTCCTCCAGCACCACAAATCAAAAGCAACAACAGGGGTAGCTTGCATCAATATCTTTTGCCTGGGAAAACCCATCCGTCTTGGATCCTGTCCCTCCTCTGTAGGACTGCCGTACATGTATTTGAAAAGTGCTTGCTTCATTATCTTTTGCCTGGGAAAACCCATCCGTCTCACAGCTCTTGTGAGGTTTTCAGCTAACATCCCAGGCAAGACAGAAACCGAAGGGGTGGGGGTGGGGAGCAGAGGTTGCCTTAGTCCCTACTCCTCAGAGGGTCCTGGGACTTGGACCCCGTCAGCTCTGGGTCCACTCCACCTAACATTGAAGCTTCAGAAACTTTGCACCGGAGAACATGCTGAAATATGAAGCTGAGACGCAAGCTTTGGTATTGCTGCCTGTATTACAGAGAAACGAAGTGATCACATATTTTTTTTTAATCATGCTCTGGTTATTTCATAAAGCTCTTTATGCCCCCCCCCTTCCATCACCACAGCTTGTCTCTTTTTATTTTGTGGATGTGAAAATGTCAAGCGCCACCACACAGAAGTGCGTGAATGGGATCTGTGGGTGGAAAATAGGGGATGCGAGTGTGGCGCCTGCAGGAGGGCCTGCGTTTCTGGCACACTCCTGCCGAATTTCTGAGAACGACCGCCTTCCCAGGGCGGAAGAAATTATATAGAACGGCTGATCTGGGAAGGGTTGAACTAGACCCAACGCTGTGCCGTTTGAGAAAAGGTAAAGGGACTTCTCTGCTGCTTGGAAATGGTCCCTTATTAGCGACTTCGGAGTAGATAGGCGTTCTTTAACTGATTGATTTAGGATGCTTTTAATAATCTTAGAATAATAATCATCTTTGAACCGCAGAACTAGGAAAGGACCCTATGGACCATCAAATCCA